GGTGCCAAATCCACTCCACCATTCTGAGCAAATGCCACATTTCACCTCTGACCACTCTTCTTCTTGACCTCCCAGAATCATCCAAGAGTCCATCCTCTGCTAAGATGTCTAATGTATGCAATTCCGCCTCTAAAGCCTTGAGTTTGGATGTGACATGTCCAAACACTTCAACATTCCATTTTTTCAGGTAACAGTGACAACTACTTGAAGTTGGCTGCATCCTGTATGATGTTTCTTCTATATTCAGGCCCTTGTAGGACACATTTTTATTTATTTATTACAACCTTGTTGTTTTAACGAGGATCTATTTTATTGGAAAATATTTGATATGTAAGAATATCTATGTCATTAACAGGGAAGCTTTTAAGCCTTCTTAACATTTTATAGGCACCAAACTAATGAATTTTATTTTTTCTTGCAGATGGTTTTGGACATACAAATGTGGATATATAATTTTTTGACAATTACGGGAGGGCATTGTTTTTATACCTCTATCCGTATATATAGTAGTTCGAACAAATTAATTTGATTATTCATGTATTATGTATGGATTTAAATTATTGACGTTGGATTAGACTTGGAGTGTACGGAAATTGTATTATATATAGAATTGGACGTTTTTGGATTAATTTTTTGGATGCTTGAAACTGAAATGTGTGCACGTTGTTGAATGCTTTAATGGTTGATAATATATTTTAGTGTTAATGGATTATATTGTTTATACAGGGTACAGGTTGTAATATAAATGAATACAGGTTGTTTACAATTTTTTTTTTAAAAAACAAAAAAAACAGAAAATTATTTGGCCACCAAATGTTTTGGTAGCCAAATAGGTAATCAAAAGTTTTGGCTACTAATAATTTAGTAGCAAAAACATAACCCAAAACGTTTTTGCCACCAAATAATTAGTAGCTAAAAAATTTGAGAATGAGAGAAATAAACTATTGGCCACTAAATTTTTTAGTCACGGAAGAAAGGGTATCATTTGGCGACTAAAACTTTTGGTGGCAAAAAGTAAAGAAATGAATCTTAATAGGTTTTTGGCTACGAACAATTTTAGTCGGCAAAAGTGACCATGCCTAAGGTTGAACTTTTAGTGACTAAAAATTTAGTCGCAGAAAGGTCACGTTTGCCGACTAACGAAGGATTAGTAGCTAAATGTTCACTTTCGATGACCAATGGTTTTAGTGGCGAAAAGATATCATTTGCCTACTAAAAGAAATTTAGTAGGGAAAAGTTTAATTTTTTGGCGAACAAATGAAGTTTAGTCGCCAATACTATCGCCGACAAGGTATGAGCAACGAACTTGGCGACAGAAATATTTGGTCGGTAAATCGTTTCAGCAACCAAATTTATGCCTTTTGCCGACAAATAATTTAGTAGCCAAAAGTGACATTTCTTGTAGTGTTAGTTGAGCCCTAGGCTCAACAAAATATTTTCTGAGAGAGAGAAAGAGAAAGAGAGTTCTAAAGAACTCAAGAAGGAAGATTGATCTCCAAAATCAACAACTTAAGGTAAGAATTTCATTATAATTTCTTGAGATGGAGCTAAAACACTTATGAACTCATGGAAATGAAGTGGCAATAAGATGAACTTATGGTTAATTAGGGAGTTGTTGGTGTTAGTTTGAAATATCAACATGTGTAGCATATTGTTCATGGAATTCTTGTTCATACACATGATCTATTCAGGATTGAGGAGGAAACTCCATGGATTTTCAAGATTTGGAACTCAACATTTACATGTGTTATGATTTTACCCTTTTGAGCTTTTATTTGGAACCTTGGTTTTGATTTGAAACTCTACGGAGTTGACAAATCACCCGTGCTATGGAAACTGTTTGGACTTGTAAATTTTGACGAATTGCTGGGTTGGTCTTTTATACCGCACTTAGACAATTGAATATAAACTATTATGCTTGACAATTTTGAACTATGTTGACACGTTTAAACTATGATGTATGCTGAAAATGAATGGATATGAAACCTACTGTAATTGACTCTGATATGGAGTTATTGTGTACATTTGGAACCATGACTTTTTGGAATATTGTGATCGGGTTATCCTGCTACGGAAATTGGTAGACCGAGAACGTAACTCTGAATTGAACATTTACCTTGCTTCAAGAATCTTATGCAAACTACTAATAGCAGACTATTTGATTATGAACGATACATAAACTCGTACCTTCAACAGATTGGGAACACATGTATGACGTACTACTTTTACTACCATAGGATTGATCATTCAGAAAATGGTTGTTTCATGCCGCCGTAATTAGAATTGGATACTATTGGAAATGAGAATTGTGAACTGCATGAATGACTTCCGTGTATGACATATGGGAATTATATAAAGCTTTATTGAAATGGGCCACCTCATGTTATCAAAATTCCAAGATGGACTGAGAAACGTTACTTGTTCACTTGCCAGATTATTGTGCTCATGGGTTTTGACTATGGGAAATTTGATCGACCTTCTGTATTAACATATAAAAAGAGGAATTGGTGGTGCAATGGGAAAATGAAACGATACACGGCACTTGAATTGGATTTGTGACGTTGTGAAAGAGACATAAGGTGAGTCAATCATAAATTCACATCAATTGAGCAATACGCCAAACAAACCATGATTAGAAAAAGAAATTATACGTATAAAGATCCGTTTTCCTAACCCCATGAATATATTTGATTTGTTAGGTTCTATCATCAGTTCCCTCTCAATTCCTATCCCCATGAATATATAAAGAATTTTTTTAAGACCTCACTTCCTTCTCAACTCCTAAAGAGGTAACTACTTCAACTTATATAGAAAATCTCTATGTTCTCTTTCGCTTCAACAAATTAGTTGTAATGCTAGAGGATCTGATACTTTTCTTTTTCTTTTTCTTTTTCTTGAATGCACAATAAGATTCTGTTGGGGTCCACCATGGACATGCATCTGATTAATTAATCATCTAATTGCATTGTTATGTGCTACTTGATTATGTGTTTGTTGTGAAATTGCATGTCTAATGGTGTGAATTAGAAGGATTTAAATTCATATCTGTTGATTTTAGAAAAACCTGTTGAAATTACAACTTTAAACTGATAATTGAAGGTCTTAAAGGCACCAGAAACCAAAACCGATTAAATATTTGTGAGCCTAATATGAAATTTTGTAAAACTCTGATTCATAATGAATTAATTGGATTTAATTCTATATTTTATATATTTATGAGCCTTAGTTAAGCCATAGGCTCAACGAAATATCTTCTGAGAGAAAGAAAGAGCAAGAGAGTTTTAGACAGCTCAAGAAGGAAGATTGATCTCCAAAATCAACAACTAAGGTAAGAATTTCCTTCTAATTTCTTGAGATGTAGCTAAAACACTCATGAACTCATAGAAATGAAGTGGCAATAGGATGAACTCATTGTTAATTAGGGAGTTATTGGTGTTTGTTTGAAATATCAACATGTGTAGCATATTGTTCATGGAATTCTTGTTCATACACATGATCTATTCAGGATTGAGGAGGAAACTCCATAGATTTTCAAGATTTGAAACTCAATATTTATGTGTTATGATTTTACCCTTTTGAGCTTTTATTTGAAACCTTGGTTTTGATTTGAAGTTATAATCTTTGTTTCAAGTAAAATATTCAACACGTTTTTAAGAGTTTTGGGTCTTGAAATGCATGAAAATGAAGTTGGTGTTTAAAAAACTTGAGTTCCACAAATGCAACAAATTTTTAGAATGGTTTTTACCCAGACCGCACATGCGGCCTGAGGCTCCGCATCTGCGGCCAAACCTCCTCTGTTCCCAGTTGTGTTCTACTATAATTGCATGTGTGGGTGCACATGCGGTGGAGCTTCCGCACATGCGGCTAGTGATCCCACATGTGTAGTTTTCATAACAAATTTTCAGTTTTTTTTTTCTTTATTTTTCTAAGGTTTGAGACTCCGTTTACAAGGTTTTCAAGTATTTTTTATATGCATTTGCATGCCATGAACACAAAAGAAATGAAAGGAAACATAAGAATAACCAAACGAATTAGTAACAAGTGAAACAAATCACATGTAATTTTGAGATGTTATGTTTTGTTATATTTTCTACAGGTTGAGCAGTTAAGGAGTATCGTCTAACCAAGCACTGTGAGTAACATTACTGTAAAGATATGTTCATATGAACTATATTTGAAATGCTATTTGATGTGTTATGCTCTCTGAAACGTTATTTTGTTAAGTGAACGAATGTCCTATTTTTGAATCTACTATGGCATCCAAATAATGGTCCCAAGTCAGAGGGGACATCATATTAATGCGGGTCCATGACATATATGTGATTACGAGATCTCGTTAGCCACGTGACAACGTGGTGATGTGTTTAATCGGTATTCAGAACCGATTACTCTAGTCGGAAGACGATATATTATATTCTGTTGAATGTACAATAATTATATTCATATATGAAAATGATTGTGATATGATTTGTTTTATAGATATGATATATTTGGAATTCGTTCACTAACCTCTTTACTTTAATGTTATTCACTGAGTTTTAGCTCACTGTGTATATATATATATGTATAGGTGGGCGACATGAAGATCAAGCCTTGATGAACCCCGTTAGTAGAGCTACCGTCTGAAGTCTTTTGAGATTTTGGTACCTCCGAGTTGAGGCTAGGTCCATAGGACCGTTGTCTAGTTGGTGATCATGATGTTGATATTTTGATATGCGTATATGTGTATATGTCGTAACCGGCGCTAAACTTACAATGATGGGTTTTGGTTGTGACAATTACATTTTAGTCCAAAATTGTAAAAGAGAGTTTGGCCTTTATTTAAATTATAAGGGGTAAAGAGTTCTAAATAAAACTACAACGGTTAGAATGAATTCAACCTTTTAAGTAACCAAATTATAATTTTTTTTAAAAAAAATCGTGAATAGTTTACATTTCATAAGCATTCTAAGAAACATAAAAATGATGATAAAAATAGAATAGTCATTCATAATCGCTCATTGTCAAAGAAGTTCAAAATCACCATAGAAATTTGATTGACTGGAAATTATTAGACATCAATGACAAACATTGAAACTCATCACCATTATTCTTATGACAATTACAGAAAGACAAACAACCCTATAGGAAAATATTGAAATTAAAAAAAAAAATAGAGAAATGATACAACAATAGTTATTAACAATTACCATATATTTGCACCGCATTTTCTTTTATTTTTTTGTGACCCTTCTTTTGGTGCAGGAAAATAAATGGGTTGCCATGGAGCAGGTAACCATGCATGCAGACGTAAATCAAAGGCCGGACGTGAATGGCACGTTGTTTGTTGGCAACCACGAGTTTCCAGAGATAAAGCTTCCTACTGTGAATTGAGAAGCCACAGTGGCGCTAGTTATGACATGGTAGCCAGGCCATTTCACCCGGCCAGCCGTGGACGAGCCAGGACCAGTGTTCATGTACTCCCCATAGTACAGAGTACTAAGAGCAAAATTTCCAGTCCAAGGCATCCATCCTGCTGGGTTTATCAACGAATCGAGAAAAGTATTCATAAAGACTGTGCGCGAGTACATCTTCCATGGCCGACCAAGGTATGTGTTGACTGTGCTTTGCACTGGTACCAAATCCGGAGCAGCGGTGACCTTGCAGTTGTGGATTGAAATTCCGGTGTTTTGGTTAGGGTCTGTTCTGCCTTGTGCAGTTATGGTGTTGGTCTTGTTAGGAGGACTACGAGCATAAATGTTGCACTTTTGGAAGACAACAGCAGAATTTCCAAAAATAAAGTCTACAGTTCCGTAAATATCGCATTCTCTAAAGAATTGCCGCAAAGAGTGGACATATAGTGTGTCTTGGTACGCTTCAAAACTACATTGATAGAACACTGAGAGGTCAGCACCCACTCTTAGTGCCACGGCCTGGTGTTGCGCTGCTCCAGCTGTGTTCCTGATTGTGATTCCTTGTGCTATAAACCCATCTCCGACTACCGCTAAATCAATTAGAAGAAATTGTGTCAAGTTTAAATAAAAAATTAATCAATTTCAATAAATATTGAGTGTAATAATAGAGAGAAAATAATTATAAAAATATACTAAAAGAAAACATATATATTGATGTAGTTCGAAGAGATTTTCACAATAAAATTATATTAAAAAATTATTCAAAATTGTATAACGATTACATTTTTGAAAATATAACCCAAAAAACAGTAGGTATTTAATGTAGAATAAAAATATTAAATGAGATAATTTTTTTCAAAATTTTTTATTTAATACTTCTAAGATATGATCAATTTAAAGTCAACGAGTGTGCTGTTACTTCAACCTCACAATATATATATATATATATATTTATGATACTTGTACATAAGCTATGTATGTTGTCCACCACATAGATTATATAATGTTGTGAGTTGTTTTTCAAAGCAATCAACAAACGAAACCTATTGGCTACCAAAGGGCCATCCAAAGCTTCGTATATTTCATAATTGGTCCCGTTAGTCACGGGCATGTCCTTTATAGTTAATTTTGTCCAATTTATAGTGATTTCAATAAATAAATAACTAAAATGAAAAGGAAAAGTTAGGGATCATGAAATTTTTTTTGTGAAAATAATGAGATAATTTTTTTCAAAATTTTTTATTTAATACTTCTAAGATATGATCAATTTAAAGTCAACGAGTGTGCTGTTACTTCAACCTCACAATATATATATATATATATATTTATGATACTTGTACATAAGCTATGTATGTTGTCCACCACATAGATTATATAATGTTGTGAGTTGTTTTTCAAAGCAATCAACAAACAAAACCTATTGGCTACCAAAGGGCCATCCAAAGCTTCGTATATTTCATAATTGGTCCCGTTAGTCACGGGCATGTCCTTTATAGTTAATTTTGTCCCATTTATAGTGATTTCAATAAATAAATAACTAAAATGAAAAGGAAAAGTTAGGGATCATAAAATTTTTTTTGTGAAACTAATCATGAAAAACTTATGATCCTCAGATTACCTTGATTAGTGTATGGTGCTTTTATTCTAAGTGTAATTCAAGAATTACAAAATTTTCATGATTATTTTCATGAAAGATTTTCATGATACCTGCATTGTTGAAAATGAAATGTCTAGCTCATGATGATCTTTTACCGCAAGAAGTCAACCATATATATATATATCACATCATTATTGAAGTATTTTTTGTATAAACATATCACATCTTTTTAGCAAGGCTGCATTTAATTTCAGTTGTCCTAGGAAAATGTAAAGAAAATATTTTTCTTGAAATCATTTCTTGTAAAAGATACAGAATTATCAGAATTTTTTTTTATCAGTAAAAACAAATTTTATTGATGAAGAAAGCAAGAAACATATAAAAATTTACATCAATAAAGAAGGGAAGTGTAAACAGCATCATAAAGTTTCTAAAATAGCATGCAATGAAATTTGAATAGCATCAGAATTATCTAAAATAGCACGCAAATAGCATAGAATTATCAGAAATTTGATAACTAAATTTTCTAAAACTTTCATGCAATGAAAAAATAATTCTCATATGTTTCCTTTTCACTAATTCAATTTTTTTAAAAAAAACTATTTTCTTGTATAACATTCTTAACAAATGAACAAATTCTGAAGTTTTTTTTTTTTTAATTAATGGTCTCACATATGTAATCTGTATTTTCCTTAGACCATGTCATTCAGTCAACGGTATTTTTACTGAATCAATCTCTTGAGTTAACTATCTACAAAACAATATATTAAACAAAAAAAAAAAAACCAATATATCGATATTTATTAATATATCAACCAATACTATCTCATATCAACTGACATGACATATGACTATATCATCAATAATAATACGGATATCATTATTTGAAACCATAGTTTTAGATAATAATTAAACAACAAAAACAAGAGAATTTTGAACTTACCAACAGTGGCTGATTGGAAGGTGGTAGTGCCACCACCAACACTCTTGCTTCCAGTGATTATAGTCTTCCCAATCCCATCACCAATCAACATAACATTTTTCACTTTAATCTGAACATTCTCATTATAAACCCCGGCCTTCACATATATCACAAACCTTGCACTCCCTCCCTTTGCCGCTGCAGCCGCTACCGCCTGTCCAATCGTCTTAAAATTCCCTGACCCGTCCTGCGCCACTACCACATTCGCTTTTGACGCTGGAGATGATGCAGTCTGTAACAATTTCCGAACACCGGGCTTAACCCAGCTCGGAAACCCACCTTTTTTAGAACTCGGCAAATGATATGGGACATTGTTCATAGCCAAAGTGTTACTAATCAACTTAGAAACATTGTTAGACATTAATGGATAGACATTGTCGGCTATGCCGAGCTCTTCGAATCCTTCCTGGCACGTTTCGAGGTTTGTCAAAGCAGTGCTCAGCCACGTTTGGGCGTCGTCATTGCTCCACTCGGTGGTTGGATCGACTGTTTTGTTGAGCCTGTGGATTGTGTATTCGTAGAGCTCAAGACAGTCGGCCCAAGCCTCCTTTTCGAGCTCGTTACGACACATGGAGCCGAGCTTGTAGGTGTGGGTTTGGGCGTGCAATGCTCGGTCTAGGGCTAATAGGACTGAGAGTTTGAAGAAATCTGTCTTATGTTTGATGGGTTTGATATATTTAGGGTTGTTAGTTAAGAAGTACTCGCAGGGTTGTGGGTATGGTGTTTCGCTGCACCATATTTTCACAGTGTTGCCGTGCCCAGAGATGGCAGGCGAGAGGAGGAGAGAGAGAGAGATGAGTGAGATGAGAAACTGAAGAGACATTGTTGGTGTGAAGATTGTGATGATGATCAATGTTTTGGTTCGGAGTTTTGGAAATGGGGTGAGTAGGAGAGACTTAGGGTTTTGTGGATGCGGAGTTTAGGTGTTGAATGGGTTGGTATATATAGGGAGTGAAAGAAAGGGTAGATGCTTCACCATTCTTTGTCCCCTCTTGAGAGTATTTTTTAAGAGTTTTGGTGTAGAAGAGAAAGTCTAGTTAGTGATGCTCCAAGGAACAATACTATGCATATGAGAGTTCATAATTGTAAAATAGAGCAATTATTAAGTAGTTTCAAATAGAGGTATTAGGTGGTATTGTTTCGTGAATAAATTTACTCATGAAATATACTGAATCCCTTTTGTTAGGTAAAAGAGAAATAATAAATCATTTAATATGTCTTAGAATTTTTCATTAAACGAAAATATCATGTGCCATAAATTTTGAATTAGATAGTGAAGGAGGGTCCTTGTGGCTCCCCACCCCACCCCAACCCAACCCTACCCAAATAATGTTTATTTAGAATTTGTATTTTATAAATTATTTTAAAGCAAGCTATATAATATACATTTAAAGTTAGTATAATGTGCACTACACTCTCTAAAACTCTCTAAAACTCTCTCCCTCTCTCTAAAAACCTCTGCCCCAGGCCTCTTTTGGGGCCGGTCGGCCACCGCCTTTGGCTATGGTGGTCGGCTGGCCTAGCTCTTTTCGGTGTTTGTTTGTTAGTTATTTCCTTCAATGAACTTGATTCCCCCATTTTCCCTTCCTAGGTGTGTTTGCATTACTGCGGTACAAGTTTCTTTTTTGGTGATTTGGGGCCCAGTTTAGCTGCTTTATCAGGGGACGTCCAGGATCTTCATTCGAGCGCTCTTCTGCGAGTAGGAGCTTGAGGGATGAACGCTGGTTCAGATTTGGTGGAGAAGCATCGATGCTTTGTTCGGGCGGAAACATGGGTGTTGTAGGCATTCCAGATCTGTCTGGTTTTCATTCGTGCACTCCTCTCCGAGTGAGAGTTTGAGGGGTGAAGAAGAGCTGCAGTGGGTAATAATTTTGGGTGATGATATGTGAGTAATATAGCGGTGGCAATGAGTTAGAAGAATTGTTGAGAGATGATATAGGGGTGAGTCAGCGGTGGCGGTGGGTGATGAACTGCAATGGGTGGAAATGTAGGGGAGCTGGAGCTGCAGTGGGTGTCTTCGGCAGAGGTGTGGAGTGGGCAGCAGCATAGGCGTCTTGATCTGCAGTGGGTGGAAATGCAAGGGAGTTGGAGCTACAGTGGATGTCTTCAGCAGGGGAGTTGTAGCAGGGGAGTTTTCCGGTGTTGGCTGTGGAGTCTTCTCGGCCGGATTAGCAGCATAGGTGTGGAGTGGTTGGTGTGGGCAACAGCTCTGGCGTGGTTGGTGTATTGCAGAAGCTAAGGGGAGGCGTGGGCAGCAGACTAGGCGTAGGTGTGGAGTGGTTGATGTATTGTAGAAGCTTAGGGAAGGCGTGGGCAGCAGACTAGGCGTTGTGGGTTGATTGAATAGATTTTAGTTTGGGTGGTATGGGCTGCTTGGGTGTTGGAAAAATCGAGATTTGGTGGGTTGATTTTGTGGGGTGTCTTGTATTTTATTTTTAGTTAAGTCCTTCTTAACTTAAAAAAAAAAAAACAAAAGACCAAGGGATTGGTTGTATGGTTGCTAGTAGCAGTAGTAGGGGTATTTTTATACTTTCCGAATCTCTCTCGATGCATGTCATCTACCTATACCTTTAATTTCATGCTGTTAAATAAAATTTTTCTTTGCTGATAAAAAAAAATAAAATAATGTGCACTACACTCAAAATGAATGTAATCTATTGATGTACCTCTTTTTTTCGGAAACTTTTATTAATATTTTTTTTAGGTAAGGTTGATTGTTATTTTATTTTTTTATTTTTTGTGTTTGTAGCATAAGGTAAATATGAAAATAAAAATATGTATGTATAAAAATCGACTATAAAATTGAGCATAGAAAAAATCTAAAATGTGTTTACTTTGGGACTCAATTATTATGAGTGTTTTGTAATTGAATTTTGTAAAGATATATAATTCGTGAATAAGGAATATTTGCTATTTCTATAGTGAGGATAAAATGTTACAATGAGTAATAGGCTACTATTTTTATTATTTTTATTTTTATCTTTACTTAAATTGAAAAATATATATATTTTAAAAAATGTATTTGACTTAGAAGGGGCACAAAACGCGCTAGAGACTCATTCATTTGTAAATAAATGCAATAAAGGGACAGATGAATCATGGATGATATAAGATAGAGTTGAAATCGTATTAAAAACAAAATAAAAACAGTTGGATTCTATTTGACAAGGTTTTGATGACCCATGCTCTCAATATGTGCGTAATAGGCTTTGAAGAACCCATCATCCACCACATTCCAATTGTG